GCAATAGTCACCTAAAAAGAAAATTTGATGTCACTTAGGAAGAGGTGAGTTTTAAAAAGCTTCACGATAAATTATCCCTAAAGTGCATTTTTTAAAAATCATAAAACTTTATTTAAAATTCATGAGAGTAAGGCCCAATATTCATATTGGTTACTAAATTGCATAGTTTAATATATGGCAAATTTTGAAGTAGGCAGGCCTCTCGTAATGCTAACAAAGAATCCATCCTTAAGGAGAGTTGCGGATGGTTAGTAATGATCAAGGGAGAAAAGTCATTAGGATAATGTAATTCTTGTGGAAAAATTAATTTAATTTCATCCATTATTTCCCATCTACAGCTAGTATATTTAAAATTGAATTACACAGGACACAACCTATCTGCATGGGTTTCTGTAAGTAAATATCAATACTTTTTTGGTTTTGGAAAATGAAATTGGAGTGAAAAATGGAATACAGACATAACAGATACATGTCTGTATTAGTTTTTCAGTATTGAATTACAGATGTGGAGAGAAGTAAACTCAGAGTATCATTTCCTCTGCCTCACTCCCCTTCATTCTTAAATATCTTCATCACCTTCTGCCTGACTTTAGAAGAAAATAACATTTCAAAAATAAACTCCTTTTTTAAACATATATACAGGCAGTTGTAACTGACTTCCTTAAAAACATCAGTCATTATCAAGGTCAAGTAGGTAGGTCATTCTCTGAGAAAATTGTTCAGTCGTGGCTTGTTTGTATTTGAAGAAAACATAGGGAGTCAGCTTCTAAATTTAACTCAGGTTTTTTTTATTGGCAGATCAAAATCACTGGGGTTTTTTTGTCCATAGGCACAGCAAGGAGAGCTATGGCATTTCTGTTGGAAAGTTGGTTTTATACCTTTTCAGCCTTACAGATTTTTGTATCTTGAATTTATTCACAAGCATACACAATTGAATATTTAAGACAGTAATTTAAATTGGGAGTAACTTCTTTTAAAGAAAGTAAACTTTATTTTTGGCTTAATGAAATGACTACAGAATTAAATAGAATTCAATCTAAAACTTTGGGGCTTTCTGTTTGCTTGATCACAAGTACATTCAAGCTCTAAAGGTTTTGGAAAGTAGTTGAAGTGCAAAACGGCATTCCCAAGGTATCCTTTGATTTTCCTTCTGGCCTGGACTATGGACAGAAATCAGTGATTTGTGAGCCATTAATAATAACAAAGGGGGGTTTGCTGGATTTCAGAACTACTCATAAGCCTGCATGAAATCTTACTCTGTGTTTATAATGGGCCCACCAGAACAGATATTCTTTGGTGCAAATGAGACTGGCATTTAGGTCAGATATTCTTCATGTTTACCTAAGTTTATAAATGCGCCAATGCAGTCTAAGTTAGAAGTGAAAGGATAATCCTGAGCGGTTGCTCACTAAATGTGACAGTATAATATGACAGAAGACATAATCTTTAGAAAGAAAAAAAAAATCTGATGTTTTCTCCATTCTCCTTTATTCAAACAAATGCTCAACTCATACGTGAAAGCCTAAGAAAGGATTGGTATTTTTGCCTGCCATGTCAGTTGTCTTAATAAAACAGTTTACTTCAAATTTCACCTACTTTAGATTTAGAAAGATAGTTCTGCTACGTTAATACTGCTCTTGTTTTCACACTATGATTGTCAAACTGCCAAGATCCCTCTTTGTCCTTGCTAGGGAGCGTCTAAGAACGTACAGCTCCTTCCACAACGATTGCAAGTCTTGTCTCAAGAAATCCTTTGGTGAGCAGGCTCTTCCCATGAAAAGATTCAACTATTGTGCCAATCAAGAGAGAAGCCAGCACAAACTCATCACACGAGCTACCCATACTCTGCTCTTGCAAAGCCATGACTGATTTATACCTTTTCTTAAGCTGTAGTTTTGAATGATCAGTGTGTAGTGGGACAGAACCTTTTTAACAGTCAGACACCCTTGTTAGATGTATTGTGTCCTAACAGGAGGCAGGGGAGGGCAGTTGAGCGGTGGAAGATGTGATCTGGCTTGAAGAGTGCTCAGCTGAAGCTTTTTGATTGCTTGATGGCAAAACAGTGCCACTGAAGATGGAGAATTGGGACAACTGTGGAATTTGGAGTGGCCTGCTTGCCTTTCCTCAGCAAGGGAAGATGAACTGGGAAAATGGTATCTGTAAAGCAGAGCGAGGAAAAACACGAGCACCCAACAACCAGAACTGAGATCTCTAGTTGGAATTCAGGTGGCTGCTGTTTAAATTACCTGTAACAGTCTGGCCGCTGACTGCTACTATTCATGAAAACTGGCTTTGTTTTAGTTCTGAAAGATCCCAGAGCAACTGCTCTGCCTTGAGTTTTCTTCTCTGAATCGCTAAAATATTCTCTTTTTTTATTTTCTCTCTTGACCCTCTCCTCCCACTCACATCTTTCAGCACGTATTTAGCTACATTCAAAGGGACAGTGAGGAAGTAGTTTTCTGTCCATCTTTCACATGGTCACAGCACTACTGCAAAGTGCCTGCCTTAGATTTTGGGAGGAGTCGGCTGATGGAGGAAGGTTAGTTGGCTGAAGGCTGGATAATGTGCCAGCATTGCTAGCAGGGTGCAAGGAGCAACTCAAAGGCATAGCGACAATTTTAGCTGACTTTTTTTGGATTCTTCGCATGCGCTTCTGGATACCCGGGTCCTATTAAACAATCACACAGCAATCAGCTTGGATTCTTTCCCAGGCAGGTGAATGTCAGACTAAGCCTGTTTCAAAAGCAAAGGACACTGCTGGGATCTGTGCCTTTGCTGGCCTGAGGTGCGCAGCAGGGCACAGCACTTGTGACTGCACCCTGGCCTATCTGGGCAGCTCAAAGAGGAGCAGAACTGGATGGATGCAGCCGTCCTCTCTGTTACTTTTGCAGCCCGTCACCTACCGTCTGGGCTCCTCAGCCTAGTGCCCTTTGCAGCTGCTGCTGACCTCAGCTTTCAAAATTAGCTCTGACATGGTCCCTGGCTAGGCAATACACTGCTGGGATGATTTATAAAGCCTGACATTTTACAGGACTCTCCCTGTACTGTATTTCCATGCTTGAGATAGTGAAGATCATTGTGCTGGGTCTCAGCAGTTTTGCTGATAATGTCGTCTTCAACAATGACACGCCCCCCCGCCTTTTTTTTTTAACCACGTTCCCTTTTTTGTCTGAAACAACTAAAATCTGTTGACCTTCAAGTTACAGGGATGCTTATCTATTAATTGGGAAAGGAAGAGCTTGATTATAGTTAGGATCCTCATTGCTTGGGCTGGTATTTAAGGCTATATTTCTTTCTCTGTCCTTATTTTTAAGAGACTGTTCAATTTACTGTTATTTGTAATCCTAGATTGACGTTTTAGTGTAGTCCTAGATCAATAGAGATGGCCTTTCAAATGGACAGTGTAAATTATAAATCCTGCATTAACAATATGGTACTTTGTCCTAGGAAAATACTTGTTAGTTTCACTGCCATTTAATAACATTCTTCTTTTGGCTAATGAATCCCATCTACCTAAATCCCATGTATATTTTAAATAAGATGTACTTTGGGGAGCTTAGCAATAGTAACATTAATCATTCACATAGTGCTGACAACATGTAGTGATTTCAGTAGTGCATCTTGATGCTGTATAGCGTTAACGATAGCAATAATAAGCTTTGCAGTTGACCACATCATTTGCCTTGAAGGATCATTTCAGATGACAAAAAACAGAGATTTGTTGTGCAAGAAGTGGTTGCTCGCACACACAAGCACTGTTTTTCTTCCCAATAGAGAAGTTATTTATTGCTAGGACACCAGTGGTTTCTCCTATCACAAAGATATGTTGTTGATAATGCCTGTAGAAAGCCCCATATTTCTAGACACATACTGTGAATAATCAAAATCTGAGAGATGACTTTATTCTGAGATAGGTAAAATTACAATGGGAAATATAAATACAACTGTCTGTGTAATGCTTTGGGTTCATCAGTTCCAAACATTTTAAGATCTTTTTGCCTACATTTTCATTTGCATCGTGCCACTGGATTGCCTGTGAGCTGTCAGGTAAACTTGCTGCCTAAAATGCTGATAACACGATTAAAATTACAGATATTTTGATATGCTCCATTTTGTGCTTTCTGATTGTATACTGTGTTACCAACACAAAGGTTTCTGCTTAATTATAAGGTAAGCACTAAGTGACATATGCTGGCAAGGTACCTGTTCCATAGGTTTTCATGATTATGTTTCTTATGTGTTCTTTTAAAGCCTCTTATGCTACTAATATGTTTTCTGAGTAACTGTAATGTTTCTTTAGGAATAACCTTACAACTGTTCAGAAGTTATCAAAAAACTCTCCACCCAGCAGCATTAACTTATGCCTGAGCCTTGTTAATAGATTGCTCTGATCTCAAGTAGCTACCATAAAATGGAATATCTGGAAAAATGTTCAATAACCTTAACTGGAAAATTGCAGCTGTGTGATGGGTGAGATCGGAAAGACCGTTATTATAAGAATCCTATTCTGCCCATATTGCAACAGGAAATGCTCCTGGGTCTTCTATAGTAATATGCTTTATGAAACACCTTTAGAAACAATCAGTTCTCCCGAGCATCAGCACTGCTATTTAGGGGTTAAAATCAATAGGAGCTTACTGGCTAGAATCCAGTTTCTATGCATTGCTCTGGAAAATGGAAGGGCTACACTTTGTATCAGATTAAGCTGAGTTAAAGTAGATTGAGGCTTAAGGGTTTTTCCATCAGAACGTAAAATATTAAAGATAGGCAATTTTACCTTGTTCTTGTATTATTTCATTTCTATCTTCCTGATTCAATATTAAGCTGAATTCTGAGAATTCCTGTTGTTTACTGCACTAGCACTCCAATTTAGCCAAAATAATACTGAGAATGTAACATGTTTCTGTGTCTGCTTAAAGTCCAGATTTCATTTGGTACTTTTTATTTGTTTTCGTTGCTAGAACATGGGCATTCGTTTTTATGACCATTTTGTTTTTCAGTGCCTCCCAGATGGCTCTGCCCCAAGTGCACATGCTGAATTTTATCTTCTGCCGGATCCTTATGAGGTCAGTCGAAGAAAAACAAGAACAGCTCCAAAAACCTCTGACCCTACTTACAATGAAATTGTGAGTACCATTCACTTTCTTCCACCATTTCTTACTTGTTTGATTTTCTTTACCCACTCTTGAAATAAAATAACAATACATCATTTAGAGCTGTTGCGATAAGTACAATCAAAAAGAAGGAACATACCATAAGCTGAACCACAAATGGGGACAATCTTCTGCTTTGCATCTTTCTCAGAAGTGAAACAGTCTCTTTGTCTTTCTCTTCAGGAAAGCAGTTGGATTATTCACAGTGCTCTGTCTTATACCATAACCACAGTTACACATTAGCCAAATGAGACCAAGCATCATTGCACCAAAACCTAGGCTGTTTTGAATGCAGATTTGTACAATAACATAAAAAGTACTAATTGAATGGATGCTGTTATTCAAATTCACATTGAAAACAGACAACCAAATTGGTTGCCACTGTTCTAAATGATAACACAGTAATAAATAGCCAAGTTCTTTTTATGTCAAAATGCTAGCAATTCACCGCCATATATAATTACTTCACACACCACTGAAGTGCTCACTCCTCTGGGGTGAAAAGAAACATTTGCATGGAGAAGCATTTACAACAGAATGGGAAGTGGCATAAACTATATTTTTTTGTAGGGGCACATGAGATTCAAGCAGTAGGTGAGATTAGAAATTATAATTATTACATATAACTAATCTCCTAAAGATCTCAAAGCAATTTACAAATGCTCTTTGAGCAGGCTTCAAAGCAGAAGACATGGAAAATATTACCACTCCACCCTGTTTCATAGATAAGATATGATGAAGCTTAAGTTAGTCAGCTGAGACTAAGAGTCCTTATCTCCTATTTTCCAAGTCTTGGGGGTTTAATATTTTTCTTTTTCTTTTCCTACATCTATTTGATTACAAAAGTTACCTACTTACACCGATGACTTCCAGCGCTTCTGTAAGTAGGCTCCTTGAGTAGCGTTGCTGCTAACAGCTGAGACAGATTTCCATCCCTATGGTACTGCAGTGGAATAACAGGGAACTAGGCTTTACTTTTTTGTTATGTTCTTTCCTTTTTTTTGCCATCAAAGAGACAGTGGAATGAGTCTAACTGACCTGTCTAAAGAAATTCCTTTACATTTGAAGGAAGCAAAGGAATACAATATGATTATATAATAACATTCATTATAAAGTAACCAAAATGGAATACAGACAAGAACCAGCCAGCAACGCTGGAAGACAATTATCTTTCTAATCATTATTAGACCAAGTTGAATGCAAGAAAATCCAAAATCCTGCCTGCAATAGGACAGTAGTCACTGGGAGGAGATTTAATTGTGGTTAACAAGCATTCCACTGCTGTAAAGAGAAATTCCATGAAAACTTTCATATCCTTTACTCGAAACTTGCAGCCTTCTTCACAGATGCTCAATCTTTTTCACCAAGAACTGCTAATCACAGTGGGGACATATGGTTCCATTGAACTTGGACATTTCAAACCCGATGCTTGTGCTGTTAGCAGCTCTGTTCTTCCATATGTGACATCATTCTGTATGCATTTTCTGTCCAAGGCTGGTAGACTGAGGCAGAAGCTGCCCCAGGGAAGAAAAACTACTAAAAATATAAGTCAGCTGTCTTTTAAGTTAGTTACTGTCCAAAATGCTGTGTACAGAAATGTACTAGCCTTTTTTATGAGTTCATAAGTTTTTATTAAAGCCAAATGGCTGGAAGGAAGCTGTATATTAATTTCTCTCTGTGTTCGAGAATGAGAAAATTCTGAAATGTTCTTCTCTTGGGTATTTTTGTTTTGAGTTTTGTACTTTTATTGCTTATGACTGCCTACAGCAAATTATCAGCCTTGCAAAAGTGCATTTTATTTTTGATTTTTACTCATGTGTGTGAGAGTAAAGACGTGAAAGTCCAGGAGGGCTGACAATAGAATGAACTATGCCAAATGTTTTAGAGTTGCTTTTAACAAGCGCTCCTTTTTTCTCTTGTTCCTTTATTTGTTTTTTTGGAGGTGGTTGCATTTACGCTGGTATAACAGTGCATTAAAAAAATCATGGTTGAGAAGAAGAGGAGAAAGAACGCATAAAAATGAAATGTGGTGTAAAAAGAATAACATACCTGCTTATAGACCACTGTTAGGAATAAATAAGACTTACTCAGGAGGTTCCAGAGTAGTTTAGTGAAAACAAAGTAAGTAAAAAAACTGAAAATAAATCTGAATGATTTAAGTTTAAACTCTTGCCAAGAAAAGTCGCAATGACCAGAACCAACTGCAGTGGGGACTTGCTCATATGTGTAGCATTTGCCCCGAGACATGCTTCAAGGTCTCAGTTGCCCTCAGTTTGTCTCTTGAGTGCCTGCATGTACGCGCACCCGTGAAATGAGCAAACCTCCCAGCCAAAGCAGAGGGTGCATTGCCATAATGAAGCCAGAACGAGAGGGAACTCTCTCCATCCTGCTCTTGGGGTGCAGCCAAATGTGAGCAAATATACCTGGGCCCCACCAGTCTGTTAGTGTTACTGCAGTTACCCTCGGAGCAGAGGGGACGCTGGCCTGCAACAACCAGCATAGTCCCAGCAAGCCTGATGGAGGGGGAGGAGGGGATCAGTACCAGGAGCCCCAGCCGCTCCCTCCAGCACTTTGCGTCAAAGCTAATTTGGACAATTAAAAGCAAATCTAGGAACTGTGCCATGGCTACCTAAGGAGAAGCAACTGTCCTGCATTTGCAATTAAAATGTCATTAGACTCCTGTAGGTCAACAGTGCTTCTCTTTCTGGAGCCAGGAATACTTGAATTCCATCCCTAACTGCCCCACTGATTTGCTGCATGGCCATGTATAACTCACCTCCGTTTAATCTAGCTGTATAAATGGGAGACAAATATTCTCAGTACACAATCATTTCAGGATTTAACTGTTCTGATTATGAAATTCCGGCAAGTGGCATTTGTTTTATCCACATACTAATTCAGCTATCTTCAGACTTTTCTTCTGTCCCTACATCCTGATGTTATATACCTTGCTCCAGCTGAATTTGCAATACCATTTTAGAAACAGTTTACTGGGATCATTTGAAAACCACCCACCCTGCACCGTAAGGTCTTTCATTGCTCAAAGCCTCTTTTTGTCCAAAGATTGAAAGTTGTTCATTACCCCAGTTCACGCCTGTTGTGATCCACCGTACTGAAGATTTCTTAGCTCTTAAAATTTACGTACACTTTTTGGTGATTTAAAGCACAGCTGAAGATGATATCTTTAATGTATTGGCAAAGAAACAAGGCACCTTTCTACAGTGATGTTAGTATCACTTCAGTAATCAAATCATAGATTTATTTTAAATTATATTATTGCTTACTGTCCCTGTCCTTGCTTTTGGGGTTTTCTTCATCATTTCACTTTGATTTTGGTGAGGAGAAGCCATTGGGGAATTTTTAATTCACATACAATTTGGTGAAATAGGCACAGCAAACATCAAAACCGAAAAGCACCAAGAGTGACTTTCATGACAGCTGTTCCAAACTATGATTTCCAAAGGTTTCTAAATGGAAAAGGAAATGTTTCTCCCTGGTAAGATCCTTCTGGTAAAGCCACTTAAAAAGAGCGAGTGGGACAGTTTTTCTTCCCCCCCCAACCTGTGACAGAGGCTGTTCATCCCCACAGCACCGATTACACCCCTACACCAGAGAGCTCGGTGCCCTGTCTGTTGGTGCTTGCCCCCAGGGAAGCCTGCTGTCCTCTCTGTTTGACACTCGCGGCGGCATCCCTGCAGCTTGCGGTGCAGACAAAATCACTCTGTGGTCCCACAGAGTGGGCAGCTGAGGCCAGCTAGGGTTGTCTGGGAGAACCAACAATTTTTTGCCTCCTGGGTCCACCCGTGAAGTTCAGAAGCACCTTTCTGTTGCCACTCAGCATGAGGAACATTGCTGGGACTGAGCCTTTATAAACTCTATCCCTGCCTGAAGGATGACTCCCATGGCCGTTTCTGCTTCTTATAACTGGCGGTACAGAGAGGACTCGGCAGTCCAACCTGCAGAGCTCCAAGCTAGAGGGGGCTCAGCCTGACTTCTCTTTTCCTCAGCAGTGCCACATGTATAGACTGCATTCAGATTGCACAGTAAATCCAAGCAGGTTGTACAGCCAACGCCTTTTAGGCAGTTTCACTTTCCCATTCTCCTGAAGTGACAGCGTGTCACTGCCTTTGCTTTTTAGACTGCACAGAGAGATTAAAATTTAAAGCATTTTCCAGTGCAACTAAAATAGCAAAAACATTTCCAGCCATACAAATTTTAGATTAAGTGTACTCCTCTTAACAAAGCTTACCTTTCAGGCCTGAAACTAGCTGAGAGCATTCTTTCACATTTTATCAACCCACATGCAGTTCACTCGGTAGTTTTTGATTAATGCAGAGACTGAAACATAGGAATCTGTTCTGAATGCAGCTCATTCTTGTTAGCCTATCACTCCGTATTTTTTTTTTTAAACTCAGAACATAGACCATTAACATTTCATAATTAACGTCTCTGTGTTCTCATAGTATTAAGGTAATTTCAAGGATATTTTAAAAGCTATAGGTTTTAGTAATTTTCTAAAGACATACTAAGCAAGCTGTCTCATTTAATTTGAGAACTATTAACAGCACTTCTTGAGTAACAGAAAGATCCAAATTTACAAAGTTCCACTTGCTAAATTGGGTCCAATCCCAGAGATGTTCCACATCTACAACTTCTACCAAGTGGGCTGAGCTTTCTGTCATGTTTAATATTTGATGATTCCATTAAAAAATGTGTTTTATAATAGGCACATTTGAATACAGTTAGCATCCAGAATCATGCGTAAAATTATTTATATTGAAATAGTAAAATTTATACAGACAATTTTCAAAGGAAAATAATTATCTCTTTTAAGGTGTGGGTTTGTTGGATCTAGAACAGCTATGAAACTTTACGGAAGTCTTGATTAGAAGAAAATTTTATTTTGCTTTGGCTTGATCTTTTTTAATTCTGGTATGTAGCACAAGATTTAATCACAGGTACAGTACTGAGAAAAAAATTCCGAGATACTGTGCATTGATGTGATACAACTTTATAAGACATATCAATCCAACATAAAGTTGCTTTAAGGCACTACTAAGGAACACGTAACAAATACAATATACATAGGTTAAAAAAAATTGACATCAAAACTGTTTTCCTGGGTTTTTTTCCTGATTTTTGCAATACCATTTATCAAATTATCTGCTATGGAAAGATATTTAAAAGTTATAATAACCTACACTTTTACAGAATTACCTATCTTATGCCTATGATGAGCACCCTCCATCTGAACCTCTCCTCCAGAAATTCAACCATATTATCATTCCCTGGTGAAGTTCACGAAGGAGCTGATATTTCCTCACATTGAGTTCAAACCTCTGCTTAAGTTAGATTTTCAATTTTCATGGGGAAAATTATATGTACCTGTTTTTTTTCTCAAGCATTGTGCAATACAAGTTTCAGATTTATTTACAAATGCTTGGTAATCAGATTTCACAAGCCTAAACTGGCAGAATCACTTTTATATAAACTACATAAGGTCAAATATATTTCTGAGGTAAATTCACTACGTGAAGTGAATTTGGCTTGTGGCTAGTAGTTTATAATTTATAAACATCATCCTGAATGCTGTATAGAAGTGTTTTGCCTATCAAATAGATTCACAAATTCATATGTTTTTTTCTGTTTCACTGTATATTATTTCAGGTTGTGTATGACAAAGTCACAGAGCTCAAAGGCCGTATACTGAAGCTTGTTGTGAAAAGCAAAGGAACATTTGTGGGAGCTGTTAACATTCAACTGAGCAGTGTCCAGTTAAATGAAGAAAAGTGGTATCCACTGGGAAACAGTGTAATTTAAATGTTGTCTAAGCTAATTCAATTATTTATCCACTAATGTTTCTTTATCCCATTTCCCCATGGTACATTTTGTCTCAGTTGCCCTTGAGAATATGCAGTCATCTGCTGATCACACACCTTAACATTTCTAATCATAAGGCTGTTGTCTTAAAATTGCTACCATCTTCCTGCAACAAATTCCTCTCAGTATGAGTTTAAGAAATCACATGCTAAGAACTTGTAGCAGCATGCAGGAAATTCTTTCGATGGCAATAAAGATTTTTGGTTTGTTCATATTAAATAGTACTGTAAAAATACTAAATTCTGTACACATCAAAGTGTGAGGCCTAAGTCTTTGCCCATTAATTCCACTGACTGTGTTGAAACAATGCTGATAGTGGTGTAATTTATCAGCATCTGCTATGACCCCACTGCATATGATGATTTCACCAGAGAACCATGGAATGGTTCCCTGGCTGCCAATACATTTCAGATGTCTAGCAAATTTCATGTTAAATCTTATACAATCAATACCTTATTTTAAAAAAGAGCTTAAAAGCTTTGCACTTTATACATTTTGTGCAGTGTATGTTGGTGTGCTTTTAACTTTTTATATAATGTAGCATTCAGTCCAGGATATTAATTTGTCAATAAGATATGTCATTGTTTCTTTTATTCTGATATCCAAGAAGCAGATATAACTGGTGATTTGTGAGGAGAAAGGAGGAGGGAAAAGCTAATAGTCACAAATAAATAAAACATATTGAATGTGAGCTTTCAGTGTGGTATTTATTTAAGATCATGCTACATGGAATCTTTGTTCACCAGTCTTACCACATTGCACTGTTATGCTACGTAAGGTAATCAAGTCAATACATGCATTGACCTCAGGGCTATAAAATGTATATACACATACTAAACAATGAACGTGAGTGGTTCCTTTGAGTTCGCTGAGGCTAATTACGGGCTCTGTTCTTCAAAGCGTTTTTACCTAAATTGAGGAAGCACTTAAGCACATCTTTAAACATTTAGCATGTGAGCAGCCATAATGAACTGTCCGTTATTGCCAGCCTGTTACGCACACATAGCTGACATATACACACACACACCCCTTTCGAGGACCAAGGGCATATTTTTAAAGCACAGGAGATGTGTTGATTTGTGATCTGATATGCTGTAAAATTTTAAGTTACCATATACTAAGTAGGTCTGACAGTTGTCCTACCAGGTGGAAAAGTGGTCAACAGAGGGATAATAATGCCAGAAGCTGAAGATAATTGCCACCTTCTCCCAAAGGACACTCACAAATCAGTCTTCAGAAGGTAATGTTGTATAAAGCTCCTGAAATGGGACTAGGAACATTATTTAGGAAACTAAATAAGCTGGAGTTTTTCCTCAGCATCAAACCAATTGACTGTGTCACTTGGTCAGATTTTATCTGAGAATAGATACACCAGATTGCCTGGGGAAATTAAACTCCTCCTCAATAAGGGGAGGTGGGGGGAGCTCTGCTTGAATATTAATATTAGTAGTATACTTCAGAGCTGAAAAAAGCTATAAAATATTTACCACATGAAAGGTATATTGGCTGGCATACAGATATGATCACTACAAAGATCAGTAAGTCTTAACATTTTAGATTCTAGGGTCTCCTGGGTGAAGAATCAAGTGACCTGTCACTCAAGCACAGAAAACACATTGAGGTCAGCTTAAAATGTTATCAAATTACCTGACCTTACAGTTTAATATCGATTTTAGGTTCTTCTTAGTCTACTGTCTTCGTTTCCTTATTATAACTATAATGCAATTTTCTAATAGTGTTATTTCCTGTGACATTTTCTAATCATTGTTTACTACATGTGGTGATTTTCCATCTTAGAGCACCATTAGATAAAATACCATTAAAATGGCATTAAATAAAAAAAAGCATTAAAATATAATATTGTCAGAACTGTCTGCAAACATAAGCAATACTGTTTGGTATTGAAGAAAGAAACCTAACTTTTTTTTTTTTTTTTTTTTTTTTTTTAAAAAAAAGCCATGTTTGAGTAACAAGTCTGCAATTAACTGAGTAGATATAGTCCTGTGGAAGCTGAACAATACCTCAGCTTTGTAAGGAAGATGGGAAAGTTGTGTCTTATGGGCAAGATCTCAGGCAAGAAGTTGTCCTCAGAGATCTTAAATCACCCAATCAACCCTTGCCTTTTCTAAAATTCTTGTAGTCCACCTCAAAGCATTGTGCTTCCTGAGTTCACAGTAAGATGTATGCTGAGTTTCCTGCTGCTATGAGGAACTTAGCCCTTTACAAATCAGTCTGTGAAGTATTTGCCTTTCTTTAGCAGCAGGATGTTCAAGACTAGGCTAAGAAAAGGTACCAATATTATCATCCGATCATTTTAAGTGCTGGGTTTTTTCTCAAAACTATTTTTTCAGGTAGCAAAATTACAGTGGACATTAAAGAGTTATAGCCCAATCAGAAGCTGCTGTTATTAAAAATTTACGTTGTGTGTGTAATTTTTCCTGTTCCCTTGGAAAGATACAATGGTAAGAAATTTTGTTCAATACAAATAAAAATGTCAATGTAATATGCTTATAATTTTGCAGTCTCAGATCATAAATATTAGACTATTATTCTCACAAAGTAATTAATCATAATTTTGAAATTACCTGAATTTTAAAAGTGTCAAAAAAACCTTCAGTCTTTATGAATTAGTTCTAAGTAATGGTAGGGCCAATGTCAGTAACCATTACTTATTCAGGATACCATTTACTCACACAAGAAGTCCCATTAGCTTAACAAAATCATTGAGAACATGCCGCTCTGGAAAACAGACCACTGGGTTGTTGCAAGCCTAGTGACGTTGCTTTATTGAGCGGGGTGTTATCCTCCAGAACAACTGCTACTGCAGAGCATCATTAATAGTACCAGATATGAACAAACAGTGATGCAGGTTCAAGATTGCCACCATCTTTGGACAACAGGGGAACGTTACGGTAACCTATAAATACAATGACACTTTATTAGTGCATTAAACACAAACACAAAGATTATGATGGAGTGGTTTTATGATCTACTATGCAAATAAAGCATAATTTCTGATTCTCTAAATAACTCTTTAAAACTGAAATGATACAGAACCCAAATCCCATTTCTACTGGTTTTCTCCTCTACATATACAGTATTTTAATTCTGGCATTTTTGGACACAGAGTGAAAAACTCCAGTGTCTTTCAGAATGTGGTGTTTTTTCAAACTGAAGACTTTCAGCCCAATGATATTTAAGCATGGGGAAAGCATACATTTTAACATCCAAAGATGTTATGCGCTGTACGCATTATTCTGATAGCAAATTAAATAACTTCTGAATCAACAGTGATAGTGCCTTAGGGAAGAAAGAATGGTATTGCAGCAGTAATGCACTGTCCAGCTGAGGCAGAAAAAAAAAAAAGCATAGTGTAAGATCTTCTACCATGACATCTTAAGTAAGTCTGTTAAGATCTCTTTTTACATATGAGTGATTCCCAGCATGCCTAGAAACTACAAGTTCATCTGGTTGTTGAAGCATTTGGAGAAGCTATAGTACTCAACTTCAAACTTAATTAACTTACCTGCTTGCAAAACAAAACAATCCTTTTATACAACATAAAAGTTCACCTGGCATCTAAAGTTCAGCTTCTGGACAGCAGATGTTAAAGCTGACTCCAGGCAATATGCATCCGAGATCAACTTTTACAGCATGCACACAGTATGTGGAAGACTTGGTTTATTTCCTATCCAAAGATACACTCCAGGGACTAAGACTCATTTCTAAAGATTGTGTTCTAGCCCCTACCTACAGAATAGCCTGCAAAGTGTCCTGAGAGAAGTAAAACTTCTTTTTTATTGAAATTGTTCCAATTTGTATGAAATAATTAACTATTCATTGATCCAGTGATAACAGCAGTAATAATTGAATTCCTGTCCTGTGTTAGAGTTCTACAGGGCAGACTTGTTGGGACAGGGACTGTAACCAAGGACCCCCCTCCTCTTGCCTTTAACCACCCAGGTAGGGAATTATTCTCACCTTCAGCCCCTCTGAGTATACCTACTTAATCACTGCATGAAAAATCAAATACTGCTACAGGTGGGCAGCAGGCATTCTTCCCCAGTGTAATCTGCAACTGAGGTGGGAGGCTGCTGCTGGGGAAAGGCAGGCAGTGATGATATACATTTGAATCCTTTCAAGAGATAACGCAGGAGAGGGTGGCAATGGCACAACTTTGTCCCACTGCCTATCAAAGAAAAAAAAAAGATGTAATCACTGCTCAGCTTTTGGAAGCAACTTGCTCTCAGGGACACCTCAGGGTTATGAATCCTAGGGAAGGAGGGATAGTCCTGTAGTGCAGATTAAAGCAATTGGAACTGTGAAGAGTAAGATTTAAATCCTAACTCACTCTTCAGCATGGTTTAGACAGTTCTTTCCTAAGAAATCTAGACTGTTGTGACTCTCTCTGCAAGACACATTGTTTTCCCCTTTCACTATTTAGGGTGCTTAGGCCCCTAAAGCAAAACCATGGTTCCAGATCTGGAATCCAGAGGTCTCAATGTTAAGCACTGCAATAAACTTTGATATTATCTGTCAGTTCATCTCTTAGCATTTCATTTATGCCTCTGAGCATCTTGATGGCATCTTGCATTTTTTACATTAAGTGGGTGTTGGTGCAATGTGTTTGGCAGTGTTTATAGCTTTTGTACCTACACTCATTTCCTAGCATTTTTAATTACTCCACTTAAAAGCTTTCCTGTAGAATCTGCATGCTTTTACTTTTCCAAAATATGAATCCCCAATTTGTGACTGAAATGAATCATACAGGCACATTAGAGACATACTGAAAAACTGTACAACAAAAAAAAAAAAAAAAAAAGAAATTGATGATTTTACGAGCATATGTAAGTTTTAGTGTCTGCTATTTAAATTTGTCTCAGACATCGTGAGTTGTCAGGGGTTTGTGGTTTTTTTCATTATCCTGAAATATATAAATG